AATTGAATTGAAGACGAATTGGGAAATTTAATGGATTGAAAGGGTATTTGAGTCTTTTGATGATAGGGATATTTTGGACCTTTTATACCATTTATTTATTCTTTTTTTAATGGAGGCCATTTTACCAACAAATATTGAGAAAATCTTCTTTGTCCAATTACATTGTTTGACTAGGCTCTTTAACAAAGAGTCCCTTTTAGTTTCTAGTCGTCTCTCTATTGCTTATTCCTTGTTTGGTTACACTTAACAATTTTATAAAAAGTAAATTAAATTTTAGTTTTTGAGATCTCTCTAAAAAATAACCTGACCAAAACAAAAATTATATTTCATGGAACCACAAATCCAACTTATTTTTAAGACGGCCGAAATCGTGGAAAAACATGCAGAGGTCTTAAGCACATGCTCGATGTGCTCAAAGAATTAAATGCTTCGCCAACATGACTTAGATGATGCTACATTGCATATCGAACTTATAGTCTTGCATTTTCACTGTGCAATTACTGACAAATACGTAGAGCCGACTCAACATATTGGAAACTTTGTCGGAAACACCAACTACATCTCTATCAATATTCGCCGATATAGGTATATCGATAACGATTTATCAGTTTCACTAGTTCTGACCAAAATCGTTATAAATATTAATTTCAATCGTGTCACCTACAACAATATTATTTTCTTCTGAAGGTTTCATTAAGACACCTAAAGTTGCTTGAGCTACCTTAATGGACACAAGAAATTGGATAGTAGTTGAGAATTATGAGTAGCAGCTGATTCTCCTAGCTGTAGATCCATGCTCGGTTGACTCGACCCCCCACAAATATTCTCCATTTTTTAAAAAATAAGGGAGACTCGGTCCACTCTTGAAAAAAAAAAAGTAATAATTCTTGACCCCCGAAATGCAATGAGTAATAACTCATTCGATAATTGACAAAGCTCAAAAATAGTTCGATCAACAGAACTTCATCATTCCAATGTTAATTTAGTCAATTTTTTATTTAATGGTAAAAAAAACTAGGACTTTTGACATAGATTCCTGTCTTCTTTTCAATTTGCTTAGCAGATGCTTCTATTTTATCTATGTTTATTTTTTCCTCTTCTTCAGAGTAGAAAGAAAAATAATGAAATATTTAAACTTAGACGAGGAAAGTCTTCTTTAATAAAAAAATTATCATCGGAACAATTTGTGCTTAATGTAAAAGATTAATCTTCGTAACTTAAGACACATAATTGCCCCAAATTCCCACACACATTCGTAACCAAGTTGCTACTTTTATCCTCATACGAGTTTTGATCAAGAAGTGCAAAAGTAAAGGTGCGTTGCCGCGTCATGTAATATATAAGAAACATTGAAAAATAAGATACTCGAAATTTCAACGCGTTTTATCCAAATTTTATAACATTCCCATTTTAACACAAGCAATGTTTTTTGAGTCAAGTTTTCTTGACCTTATTTAAGCCCCCATTTGGCCCCATTATTTGGTATTATAATTTTTGAAATATTATTTTTTTTGGAGAATAGATGATTGCAAAAGAAGGAAAAATTTCAATTTACGTGTAATATTATTTATTAGCGAATGTGTGATTCAAAAGAAAATAAAAAAAAGGTATTATAATTTCAACGGGGTCAAACGGGGGGTTTAAGGTGGTGTTCTCTTTGACCGTT